CATAGTAGAACCTTTAAATATACCAAACCAATTTCAGTTACAGACAATCATGTCACCAATTTACCTGAGAAATTTTAATGGAAATCACTATGGTTTTTCAGCCAAACACTTGCTGATTTTGGTTATTCCCCCGTTGTTACTATATTTGCACTTTAGACACCCAGTTGTAATCTTCGACGATTCCAACTTCGTGTGGATGCTAATTCCTCAATCATGACTTAGTAATGATGTAGTCTTTAACTGATAATTTACCCCTCTTTTGGGTACATATGCACCTATTTTTGTTCACAAATTTATTTTTAATTTCACAGCCAAGATAGTCAACTGGGGTCTGGGTGCATTTCCTAATTACAAATGCTTCCCATCACACCCAATGTTCCGCCACCGCCACCATCACTTCCAAGTTCCAACCATGGGCAAGATACAAAACTCAACATCTTCATTTCACCGGCCATGGCCAGATCAGAAACCAAATATGTTAAGAGTTAGATAGATAAATGATGGATGATGTGAGCGCTTGACCGAAAGCGGTGAATTGGTTGGGAAGTTGCCAAGTTTTTCGGCAATAAGGTGGTCAGCCACCCTGCCGATGAATCAGACCCCATAACGTAGCATTTAATACAAATAGCCTTGATTCTGCTGATGTTTCTATTTTTAGAATGTGAATTGAAATGCTGCAGCAAAAGGAGAAGGAAAGATCAATATTTTGGCGGGCTAGGGCTGGAACTGAAAGTTGCGATGAGTTTTGATGTGCACATATATTTTCTATTACTGAAACTGCTAGCCTTAGATATTTGTGAAAGCTCTCTTTGAGAACTCAGAGTTGTCTGCTTTATTCATCTAATTTGGGCTCAAACAATTGTGCTAACCTATAGTTTTTATTGTCGGGCCTCATTCTCTTTTCACTGATAAATTGCCTAATAACAAAATTAAATTGACCTACAGTGACTTTTGTTTTCCAGGTTCTTTCACCGTGTGTGGTAGCGAATATGAAATATAACCGGTAGCATTTTGTTCTTTTTTATATTCACTTTAGAAATTTTACATGTTTTTTTTTTGGAATTCAAGAGGTATGGATCCGTACATCGATAATAACAAATCTTATAAAGAAAAACAATTTAAGCAATTTATATTGAATGTAAAAAAGTATAAAATTTTCTTCTAAAATATAAAAAAATATAGATACCAGTAACCTAGGATGGCCACATCACCAGAACTAATTACTTACTAATATAAAATTCAAAAGTAACACAAATATTATTTTCCCTTTATGAATAAACTATTTAAAAGACTGTAAATTTTTTGAAAATATGCAAATTGGTTAATACAAAACAACAAAATATAATACAAAATTCATCCGACCAACGGGTCGGGTAAAAGCTAGTTTTAGGTAGGGGTGGAAGTTTGGGTGTGGGTTGTGGATAATCTGCAAACCGCACCAACTCGTACTTATTGTGGGTAATCATATCCACAAGTTGTGGGTAGTGGGTTGGGTGTGGGTAGTAAAATAACGATTTTTGTGGTTAGTGGTTATTCACTATCCACCGCGGATAACCAACAAAATCCACAATAACCACACTAATTATATTTATTTCGTGAATTAACTTTATAATATAATAGTATGTGAAAAGTGCGAGGATAAAAATTAAAGTAGTCACCAAAGCAAAAAGACACACCTAATCAGTTTTATGTAAGAATTTTTTAGTTTATAAAACACTATAATCGATAGAGTGGAGAATAATCAATTCATTAAAAATGAACACCTTTCGTAACTTTTATCAGTATGTTTTTGCTTTTGTGTGAAATAAATACAAGATCATATTTAATTGTCATATTTCACCCCTAGTCGGGGAAATATGAAATCACAGCTCTCTGGCACAAAAGTTGAATACCAAACTCAAAAAGAAAAATATCCATGTTGAGTAAGATCGATGTACAAAATTGTATCTCCACGAACAACACAAGTGTATATCACTATAATCTAGTTACGAACAACAAATACGTTAATGGCGACTAGAAGTTTATGCTTGCAAATATGGATTTTTGCGGGTAACCACACCCAACCCGCACAAACCCACAGTGGGTAGTGGTTACCCACTAACCACTATGGTGCGGGTTGTGGGTAGCATAATTGTAAATTTGTGGGTGTGGGTACCCGCAAAATGTGGGGCGGGTAACCACACCCACCCCAATTTTCACCCCTAATTTTAGGGGTGTTCAAATGGTTACCATGATTATAACCAAACCAAATAAGGCTAAATTTCATTAACCATGAAATGCAATATCATAACCAAACCGTCCAAATTAATACAACAACCAAATTAACCAAACTAAAGTTTAATCGGTTTGGTTAATTGGTTAACCAGATTAACCAATATAAAATCATATTATCATCAAGTGAGAAAATTTTCGGTTAATTTATCAATTCACAATTTATATAATGAATAAACATAACAGTCAACACATAGTTATAGTTGGACCTCAACATAAATACATGCAACTAAGACAATTATCCTACGGTTAGCATAGAAGAATTCACCTATAAAAAATTTATCACAATGGTATGGATTAATGAATTGTTGTGTTTGTTTAAATTGACTTAGTATTTTAGCAATTTTCATAGGCTGAAAAGGACCTTGCTTTCAAGTTTTCATCCAACATAATGTATGAGATTTATCTAAATTAGGTGGTCATATGTTGTGGTCTACACTCTACATATACCAATATACATTATAGGAATAATATCAAGCTTTATATTTTTTTAGTCTAAAAGAATGAACGTTTAACTCTTGAGTGGTTATTCAAAGTATTAAGTATGTGTATATATTAGATATATAAACACAAATACATGTGATCGTCCTGCCAGTTGGTCACATAGGTCGAAACCCTCCTGAAAAACTTGGCCTTGAAAGTGTCCCACACCTGGTACTTGTACTGGTTGATCACCGCCGTCCCCTCCGCCACGTTCGTCGACTTGTACCCTTCCCTCAGCTTGAAGTGATGCACAATGTTCAGCAGCGTCATGTCGAGAAGGTCCGGTCGGACGAAGGACTTGTGCCTTTCAGGAGCCTGCAGCCTGCAAGTGTAACCTACTGTCACACCTTGCTTCGGCGGTTCTGTCAGCCCCGATGGGCCGAAGCTGTGGCACATTGTCCTCACCTCCGCGATCGTGGGCTAATCGGTGTAGTTCGAGACCATGGCGCCGAGCGAGTTCTGCCCTGGCAAGGGGGTTTGGCCACTGTAGTGAGGGAAGTAGAAGAACTCGTCGACGTCGAAGAAGCCGACCCACTTGCACTCGTACTTTGCTCTCAGAGCACAATGCGAGAACCCTGCCTCCTGCGCTTTGATCCACGGCCAGACGTGCCTGGAGACATTGTGATTCCGCGTGTTGAGCTCGTCGGCGACGTCTTGTAGCCCGTCGTCGTTGTTGTTGTCGTAGATGAACCATCGCTCCACTCCCAGCCACGAGTGGTACATCACCCATTCCTTCAAAACCGACGCTTGATTCCACAGCATCGTGCAAGCGCAGAGCTCGTACTTCTCTTCCCCTTTCCCTCTCATTCCGTGGGATTTTGGGTTGTACACTTTCGCCACCGATGGCAGAGCTGCAGGGGAGGCCGAGGCAGGGGAGACGGCGGAGTCTTCGACGCGGCTGACGGTGACGCGGATTCCTTCGGCAAGCGCGGTGTTGTTTTTCCGGATGCAAGCAGCAGACCTCTTCCTGAGTCGCGGCGGTGGCTTCGGTGGTGAAGACGAAGCTCTCCTCTCTGGTCAAATTGTTGCTCAGCGAGAAATGGCACTTGAATTCGGCCGGATCGACTTCCCTCCGTGGCTTCAGATTCAACCCTTTCGCCAACACCACCACCGTATTCCAATCCAGAATCGTCTCGTAGACCACTTTCCCCCAATCGGGGATGGAATCGGAATTTTCCTCATCCGCCGTCTGATTCGCCGCCCTCCTCGAAGAAGCCATCCAGTTCCCTTCCACAAACCTCGCCGCCGGGGCGGCGCAAATCCACGGCGGCGGAGTAGTTCACAGGCGGGAGCTCGCACCTCACAATCGACTTCCTTCTCCCTTTCACCTTTCCCCCTCTCTCTCTGTAATGTGATTGGAATTGCGATTCCCTTTCTCTCTCTCTCTCTCTCTCTCTTAATAACAGTAGAAAAAAACAAATGAACTTATGGAAGGGGAAAAGGAAGGAGCTTTGCCTCTGGGTTTTGTTGTTTTGCACGCTTCTTCAGTGTACCATTTCCTTCCTGGGAAATAAAAAATAAATACAAATTAAATGACAACGTGGCCTGGCAGGAGAAAAGGTGGGTAGTGGACAGTTTTTTGGTTCTGAAATCAGGCGGGAACTCTTTTTTTTTTTCCCGCTTAACATTCTGCCACATCAGCTTCCTAAAATCACTCTATGGGCAGGAAATTTTGAATGGGGGGTGCAGTTTTACTTTTCAGCTATAAATTATACTGTTGATTCTATTCAGGTTTACCCATACTCATTAAAAATTCCTTCAACTCAGATTTTATCTTTCCTGATTAGGCTGGATTAGGACGAGTGTTCATATGATTATTGGATTAGAAAGAGTATTAATAAGCATGATTACTTTTGCCATCTTACTATCAACATCACCATCTTCAATATTGTCCTGATCATCGTGGTCCAGATCTTAACTACACGATGAAGTCGATGATCTGGCACCCATAGTCATCAACGATAGCAACATCCTTGTTTTCCTCCACGCTTAACCGCTCGAAAACAGATTGCATGTTTTAATTTGATTATACCTTTGTCGATGAATTAAATCTCGGTTTGTTGCTAATCACGAGAGGATTTCTTCGCTAATATCGGCCAGAAGATATATTTACCTCGTCTCTACCAAACCCTCATCCTCACTCCGGCCAACACGACGTCAAAATGGCAAGTCTCTCTCGTTCCTCCTCTTCTCCCTCAACTCGCCCAAGTTCCATCTCCGGCTTCTGAAGTTGTTTCCCCTGCCTGTAACCGATAGAAGCTTTATCTCCTTCCCCTTCCATCTAGACGGAATATTGGTGACTATATATCACCGCCTGCTTCTGCTCACTGGCAGTACTGTTGCACCGCATTCAGATAAGAAAAGAAACAGCACAAGCTGGCATTCTTTGAAACGAGAAAGCATTAAACTAGAGTTTTACAAAGCATAAGCCACATTCTGCAACCCAGAAGAGAAGAAGAGGATGTGATGATATTTTGGCAGCGGGTAATTGAGAGAGAATGGCTGAATGAACTTTATATTACAGACGGTTGAATCATCATTTTACTTACAGAACACGGAACCCACGAGAGAGAAACATGATGACAACATACGCACATAAGAAACAAACATCTAAACATCGACAATTAGACTGCTCTAACCTTATCAGCGAAAGAATTCATCAATCGTTCTAAGCCCCCCATTGAAACTGTGCAAAGGGCTGTCAGTAGTTAGGCTTCAATTTTCCATAACCCAGAGCCCCCCCCCCCCCCCCCCCCCCCCCCCCCCCCCCCCCCCACGCAGTTCTCTCAGCTAGAAGCACTCCCAGCAGCACCATCCTTCAAACTTAAAGACTGAACTTGCAAAGCGACTCCTTCAACCTGAGGGGCTACCATATGAGACAATTGATGTCCAGTGCCACCAAGAACCATACTGCTCAAATCAGCATATCCACCATTAGGGTAAGCAGGATACAGATAAGGACTGAAGCTGGTTCCAGCCATGAGGGGACCGCTCCAAGGGCTCCCAGTTGCCATCGGTGCAATTCCATAGCCACCTCTACCATATCCAAACACTGGGTACCCACTACTATACAATCCAGTTCCATACGGATACCCACCCATATAAGCTGAAACTGGTGCATAAGTTGGGTAAAGCTGATAACCAGAACCATATGAATATGATTGGAGCATTCCCTGATCAGAAGTCCTACTAGAAGAACCCCCTTTGATATTTTCTCTTCCCAATGCATTATTTCTGTTGATAGTCACTTCATCCCTTGGCACTGCTCTCTTGACCTCCACCTGCCTACCATTCAGCTCATGGAAAGGATTGAGCATAACCTTGTTCACAGATTCCTCAGCATCAAATGTAACAAATCCAAACCCTCTGGGTCGATTCGTTGAGCTGTCTTGCATGACAACAACATCCACTATTTTACCAAACCTCTCAAAATAGTTCCTGAACTGTGCCTGGGTCAAATCGGCTGATAAACCCCCAACAAATATCTTTTTGGTCCTCACAGAAATGTTATTGCTACTAACACTGCTACTGTTTCTATCAATCTCACTGTGCTTCTGTTGATTGAGATTTTGTTGCTGGTGGTGGTATTGAAGCTGGTCACTTCTGGGGATTGCTTTCTTGACTTCTACCTAACGAAGGAAACGAAGAACACAATAACCACAGAGTTAACTGAAATCAGGATTTTCTTCGGCTCCTCAAAGGGCAAGCCAGGTTCTACTGCTTCATCTCTGGGATTGTGAGCAGAAACAATCAAAGCAAACTATATTCATGATTTCAAACGAGAAAGGACTACCCTAGATAGGTGAGCAGATTGGAGGACTGTAATCTGTTATGGAAAGTACAAAACGCACCATCTTTATTGTAAGCAAAAAGTGAGAAACTACCAAAAAAAAAAAACGAGAGAGAAAAAGAAGACCAGAACAAATATACACTCTCCCACTCTCTTCAATCCTTTGCCCACTGAAATCTCACTAGCTAAACCGAAACTATCGTGACTAGAATGACAAAAGATAAAGCGCAATATAGTCCAACATGGGATAATTTCAACAAGCATAACTTTTACAGAAACCAAATGGGTGCAAGCACAAGAGGAAGGAGATAAAGACAAGCACGAGCAAGGGCTGAAACTGACCGTTCGACCCATTATAACATGGGTTTCTCGAAGCGCCCTGTCAGCAAATGAGGGGTCATAAAACCAAACGAAGCCAAAGCCTCTCGGAATCTTGGTAGTCTTGTCTCTGGCAACGAGGGAACCAGCAACGTCTCCGTACCTGCTGAAGTGAACCCTGAGAGCATCCTCACTCGTATCCCGACTAATTCCACCGACGAAAAGCTTCGCCTTGTCGAAATCCATTGCCAATACACGACGAGAAGCTCAAATTTCACAAACCCTGAAATGAAAGTTTCTCAATTTTCGATGAGCGTAAGAACCCTAGAGATTGGGGGCGAATTCTAGGGTTTCAGATAAGCGGTGAAAAATGGAAAGACGATAGAGGAGAAACGTTTCAGTCTTTTTTACTTTCATCAAGGCTTTCCACTTGCAGGGTTATTCTTATTCCACAAACAAATTTCACTTTCCGAAGGAAAGCCTACTTTAAGCGACAAGGAATATTCCTCTATCGGTCCAATAAGAACTGGCTTATTCTGGGCTTGGACATTGAGTTTCTGAGTGGGCCAAAGTCATAACTGGGCTGGATGCACCAAGTATCGGCACTGGAATCAAATAGAGAAGAAAGCCCGAAGTAAATCAAAATATATGGGCTTTACCTTCTCCTCATTAGTCCGTACACTAGCTGTTTTTTTACTTGATAATAATGGCGATTGAATTAAAAGGAATAGAAAAATGGGTATGGGCTTACAAAGAGGGATCAAAATACCATGGACCAGGAATATCGGTTCAACAGAAAATCGGATCAAGAACGATAAGGTAAACTATTGGCGACCAGAATATCGTGTCGGCTGGTTTTTCCGTTGTAACCAGCACAAAAGGAAATATCGCCCGATTTTGGTCTAACCGGCGGTAGACTTATGGGAAGGGAACACGTCGTCATTTTTTGCACCAAAAATTTAAAAAAAATCGACGAAGGCCAAACGAAAAAATGGGAGCAGCGTTTCTTTCTTCCCCAGCTCCGCCCCGCTGCTCCTCCTCTTCTCCTTTAGTGACTGGCGACTGGCGACCAGGAACAGCCGACCTGCGACCAGCGATCCCTGCTCCGTCCCGCCACTCCTCCTCGGCCAACGCCTCTCCCTCCCCTTCTCAAGAACGCGCCGCCGGGGAGACTGCTGACTGCTCAAGAACGCGGACATAGGTAAGGAAAAATTAGAACGCTGAGTTTTTGGAAAAAATAGACTGGTCAAGAACGCCCGGGAGACTGCTCAAGAACGCTGAGGCCCTGTTCACTTCCATTTTCTTTTCCTGTTTTCTGTTTTCATATAATAAATTTGGCAATCGAAACGAGAAAACTTGTTTACTTTTCATTTCGTTTTCTATTCGTTTCCAACTATGAAAAAAGAAAGTGGCAACTTCCTCTATTTTCGGAAACGATAAAATGTTGTTTTCACCTGTTTTCAACATCTGTTTGATAAAAAACAGGAAACAGAAATGAAAGTAGTTTTTGCCTTTTTGGATGTTTGGACTGATTTTAAGTATAGTACTGAGTTTTTTTTTGTTTTCAATGTTCTGCCCTCTATTTTAATGAGAATTTTGGATGTTTTGGCAGCAACGGCCAGTGGAGAAGAAACCCGATTAGTTGATCAAGGAGCAGCTGTAACACCCTACTTTTACTAAAATGCCCTTGATAAATAAAATACCCAAATCTTATATTGCAGCGAGAAAATTTTTCAGAAATAAAATACAGAAAACATACACTTGTAGTTCAAAGCAAAGCCCTAACACGTGGGCAATTTAAACTCAAACTTTAAAATCTCAATCTGATCTCCAGTCTATACTCATAATCTTAAAATGCAAATAACTAGGTAGTCTCTGTCGTTGCTGCTACTGAAAATCATAACTAGGCATCCTCCGTGAGGCTTGCACTGCCCTCCTCTAGCTGGCTGCCCTCGAACTTTTCCTCTCGAACTCGCTGCTCTCTAACTGCTCCTCTAGCTAGCTGCTACCGATCTGGTTCTCGCTCATTCCCTTACTAAGGCCTAGTGAGTGAGTTGGGGTCAGTCTACGCCCTTACGTTTAAAATTTCTACTGCTTAGTACTTTACTTAAAACACTTGCTTAAATTTGTGGAAATAGTTTGTACTTCCACTCTTAAAACTCCTAACTCTTAAAACTGTATGGGAGTTACTGTTACTCTCCATTCTTAAAGCTCAAATCTCGACTTAAATACTTGACTGACACGAGGATCCCTCACTAGCGAGTCTGGTTGCCCAACTCATATGTATGAGAAGCCACCTAGGCTTTCCTTAAACTTAAACTTAAACTTATCGTGGTGGCTCTTCACCACGATTCACAACAGCATAACTGTTGCTCATCTTAAAATATCTCAAAAGCATAACTGCTGCTCATCTTAAAAGTCTCAAGAGTATAACTGCTTCTCTATCTCAAAATCTCAAATGGCAACGGACTAGCGTTAGCGACTAAAAACACTTAAAACGACTTCACCTTCTTGAAGGTGAGTTACTTCTTAAAAAGACCTTGTTTCTTAAACTTTAACAATAAGTTATACTTATAAATTTCAAGGTAAATAATAACCATTCACTTCAAGTCATAAGTCAAACAAGGCACATATCATCAACCACAATCATGTAGTCTCAAACATGAATCAAATACTGCACACGTAAATCAATACTCGAAAATACTCAAGGCAAATACTTGAAAACCGTAAAGCGTAGAATTTACCCCCTTTACACTCACCTTATTGTTACTACACGATTGGAGATTTTTATCCGTAAGTATTGGCATGCTCGTTGTCCTCCTCCTGTATCCACTCCATTATCTGGCCCTCGCCCAGCCAAATTGCACAAATCATTGAGAACATCTCATAATTAGCCAACAAAGTCATCCCACTTGTCGTGCGAAATTACCTTACGCAAATTATCAGTTGCTAACCCCAAGTAAACCATGTACGCGAATCTACTACCTCCCATAAAATTTCAACGAATTATAGCCCCAACAACCCCTATAATAATCCACTAAACCATTATCATATCCAAATAGTAGTGCACCTCACGTATTTACTTGTTGGAATTACCCTTTTACTGTTTGCTTCTCCAACAACGTCTAAGTAGTGCCACCATACCATTAATTAACGAGTTTCACTACTAACCCTTTCCTAGTATTTGCATACATATGAACAAGGAAATCCATTCCTGACTCTTACTGAGTTTCTTACGCATACCTACTGTCTAGCTCATGATTTATAACTAAACTAATTCCATCTTTGCTTTTACCTATATAAATTCTATTCCTCCGCATGCCTTACATGCATTCACGTGACGAACCAAATCCCAATTCCCCAACTTCAGAGACATCACCTAGTGATTATTCACCAATCTTGTACTGTAATTACTTCAATTATCCAGGTTTCATCCATCAACACCATAATCGATGAAGGCCTACAGAGGTTCAGCCCTTACCTCACAATCGATTCATCGAACCCTTCCCGGCCGCTCTGTCAGGGAAAGCCAATACGTCCATGCCCTCGTGCTGCTGACCCTCTCGATCGATTGTAACTATGATAACCTCGAGGCTCTCCCGACAGCGTAGTCTTGGCGGTTCCCTTCTGCCGGAGGCCGATTGATGATGGAGAATGAAAGGCACCAGCGGTGGGGGAATAGCGGAACGGGAAAGGAAGTGCTGGTGATGGTGGCGATGATGCAGGGCTTGCGCGTAGGACCGCACGAGTGGAGGCTGCTTCCTTGGCGCCGTTGGACTTTCTCGCTACGGCTGCTACGGGGGAAAAACAACGATGACAATGTGGAGAGAGATGAGTCGTCAGTTGGGGTTTTCTCACGTTGCTGCGCTGAGGACTCCGGGACTAGGGTTTCTTCCTTTTCTTTTCTTTTTCCCGATGCTACTCTCATTGGAAACGGACAAGTCATGGGGGACTTCTTTGGGGAAAATGATTTAGAAAAATTTTACAATGCTATATAGTATTGGTGCTATAGGTTTTTGCCTTTATGGTACAATTTAAAATTGTATATTTACGTTATGGTACAACTTCAGATTGTACCTATACTTTTTGTACAAATTTTTTTATGGTACAACTTGAACTTGTACCTTTATGTAATGGTACAATTTCAAGTTGTAAAGTTGTACCATAACATAATGGTACAAATTGCTTTATGGTACAACCTAAACTTATACATTTAATGTTATGGTACAACTTTAAGTTGTACATTAAAGCACCAATACTATATAGCATAGTAGAAGTGCTCAATGATTTAATTGGGTTGTTAATTAACTAGAGAGTGTAACCGAGAGAGGGAAGGGTAATGGGTGTAACGGATTCCTTTTTGGCATTATCTTTTTCTTCTTTTTATTTTGTTTTATTTTAACTAAAATCTATTAATCCTTAATTAGAATTAATCACTAGAACTTAAATAAACTAAAATCCCAATTCATTATGGAATATAATCTACCCAAACTGGAACCAAACCGATTACTGGTCGAAACTAACCTAGGAATTCGGGATGTTACATTTCCTCCACCCTTAAAAAAAATTTCGTCCCCGAAATTTGCTCGGACTAATATTAGGACAACTATTAGGACAACTATTTTATCGATGAGTTCAACCGGACGAAGGGAAAGGGATTGACCGCACCCTAATTTGATTTTTTTCTATTCAGATATTTTTAATAGAAAAAATATTTGAGAAGATGCCCATCATTGCCCTTTCTGCCGAAGCAGTTCCGCTTCTTTTAAATTTGCTCAAACCGCCCATTTTGTTCTTATACAATTTAAATCTCGATTTTGATACGATTTTAATCCCGATTTTAAACGATTTTAAGGTCCACCGATTTTCTAGTAAAATCAGGATCGGAATCCCTAAGTAAAATCTTAAAATCCTAAGATTTTACGATCAAAATCCCGATTTTGACTGCTTTGCATGCATAAGCTTTTGACTAATTATGAAACGAATAAGAAGAAATCTAAAGTTATCAAAGCTGGATTTAAAGAACCTCGTGATACAAGTTCTTCTAGTGCACAAGATGCTGGTAATAGTGCTAAAAGAGTTGCTCCTAATTTGTCTATGGGTTCGGTTGACACTTTCTTTGCTCCATGGTCATCTTCCGGTAGTCAACCGGGAATAAAGAGTGCCTTAGCAACTAAAGAAGTTTTATTGTATGTGGATCGAGCATGGGCTAGATGGTTCTATGATGCATGTGTTCCTTTAGAAGCAATTAAATCTCCACAGTTTAAAATAGCATTGGATGCTTCTATGACTCTTGGTCCTGGTATGGCGGTCCTACATATTATGGTTTGAGATTTACTTTGTTGGATAGCATTGTGAAAGAAAGTCAGTTATAGATTTAGAATTTGAGGTATCATTGGAAGGAATTTGGATGCACTATTATGGCGGATGGTTGGACGGATAATAAGCGTAGATTCTTAATCAATTTTCTTGTTTATTCTCCTGCTGGAACATGCTTTGTGAAGTCCATTGATGCTTATGGTTTGGTTAAGAGTGGAAGGAACTTGTTTAAGTTGTTTGTGAGGTCATTGATTAGGTTGGAGAGGAGAATGTTGTGCATGTGGTGACCAATAATGCATCCAACTATAAATTAGCAGGGACAATGATAAATGAGCATTATGGTCATATATATTGGACTCCTTGTGATGCTCATACCCTTAACTTGATTTTGAGTGACATTGGATCTATGCCTCATGTTAAGAAGCTTGCATATCGAGCTACCAAGGTCTCCAAATTTGTTTACAATCATGATCCTGTTTATTTCTGGTTGAAGACAAATGAGAATTGGAAAGAAATAGTGAGACCTGGTGCTACTAGATTTGCTACTACATTCCTGAGTTTGAAAGTATTTTTGAGCACATGCATGATTTGGAGGAATTGGTGATTAGTGAGTTCTTTAGACAAAGTGATCTTTCAAGTACTAAGGATGGAAAGGATGTGAAGGCAATTGTACTAGATCAATAGTTTTGGGCTGATTGTGGAGATAAGGCGGAGATGTACAAGCCATACATGGATATCATTAATAGGAGATGGGATAAGCACTTGAGCCGTGATTTTTTTATGGCAACTCACTATCTTAATCCGGTTATTGAGTATTCTGATGATTGGACAGAGGATAGGGCAGTTACATTTGGACTTCTTAATCTTCTTGAAAACTCGTCTTTATGTCCTGATAATAGTGTGGTGGTGGTGGAGATAAATTTGTATGTTGAACGTTCAGAAAACTTTGGGAGGAAGATAGCAATAGATTCTGCACAGAAACAACAACCAGGTAATTGATATCACTTGCATTGAAATTATTCTATTTATTACAGTATTTAAGAAACTAACATGTATGTTTTATATAGATAAGCGGTGAAAATGGTTTGGCATTGATGCTCCAAATATTCAAAAGTTGGCTATTCGAATTCTTAGTCAAATTGCTTCTTCTTCTGGTTGTGAACATAATTGGAGTGTCTTTGAACGTGTGCACACCAAAAGAAGAAACAGATTGCAGCATAAAGTGCTTAGTAACTTGGTGTTTGTGAATTACAACTTGCGATTGCAGTATAAGTAATTTTTGAATTATAGAACTTGCGTGTTGAATTCATACTTTCTATGCTTACTATTGAATTGAATTATTTTATGTTTTCTGCTTTGATTAGGGAGTATTATACCAAGAATAACAAAGAATCATATGATCCCATAAGCCTTGAAAGCATGGATTCTACTGTTACTAGTCACTAGTTGTCAGAAGAGGAAGAAGATTCGTCCTATAGGGACAAGGAATTGGATATTGATGACTTGGATCGAGCATTAGAAGAGGAAGGTTTGTTCGTAAATCAATTATGTATGATATGAATTCTAATACCAATAATTGATAATAATTTTTACTTGTTTTCTCTTGTAATGTAGTTGGTGATAAAGAAGATGAAGGGGATGAGTTGAATAATGTAGACTTCTCTACATTTGGTGTTGTTTGAAGATATGAAACGTTATTTGTGAACATTATAGTGCTTGCTAGTTTGAGTTTCGTAGTTGTGAACTTGTGGTTTGAGAATGTTTTTTTGGTTGTTTTGTACTTTGAACGATTATGTAGTTTGAGAATGTTGTTTGGTCGTATTGTACTCGATCCTAAACATGCATTTGAACGATTCTGTAGTTTATTCTGGGCTAATACCACTGGAAAACCCGAACTATTAACTTTGTGCCATTTGTGTCCTAAATTATACGATATGACAATTATGTCCCAACATTTGGTAGTTTTGTGACATTTACGTCCTGACAATTTCGTTGACCGTTATAGATAACAGTTGACCAAACGGTCAACCATAAAATGTTGACTGTTGGTTACATGACACATATGTGGCAGCCACATCTGCGTAACGTCAGCTGCCACATCAGATTATTATTTTTAAATTAAAATTAAATAAAAAATAAAAACTAATCCCTTCTTCCTCATCTCAGATTCACCATCGCCGCTCAAATTGTGAATCACGGTGGACAGGGGAAAATTTTTGTTCAACCTCGCTACAAAGAAGGAATTGTGGGTGGGAGATCGATGCACTGGCCCTCTCCAATCATGACCTTGCAATCCCGCCGCCGCGGCCCGTCCTTCTCCATTCTAGCTGCTCGTCCTCCCCTTGCGCTCCTCCCTCCGTCAGAGCGAGGACAACCTTACGCCTCCCTCCGCCAATTCCAAATCGACTGCGCTGGTGGGAGACCCTTCTTCGTCCTCTGTGAAAACAACAACACAATCAACAGGCCACTTCAACTTCATATGCCACATCAGCGCTGACTAGATTTTCTGTTTAAAACTAACAGTCAACGCCAGTCAACTCTAACAGAAAAATAGTTTAGGACACAATTGTCATATCGAATACTTTAGGACACAAATGACACATTGTTAATAGTTCGGGTTTCCTAGTGGTATTAGCCCTTTATTATGTAATGTTGCAGTTTGTTCATTGTTAAATTACTTATGCCTATTTAGTTTATCGAGGTTTGTCATCCGGTAATTCCGGTTTTATTCCGGTATTACTGCAAAATGGTATTCTGAATCTTCCGGTACGGTTTTTTAGCAAAAAAATATTTTTTTAATTACAAAAACAGTATTTTGCCGGTAAGCAACGGTTGAACCACGATCTATCACAAAATACCCTACCACTGACGGATCCGGTATGACTTCCTGTACGGTTTCCTTTATCATGCAAAAGACTTGATCCAAACAAAAACCAAGAGAAAAGGGAACAAGGAAGGAAAGCATAGAAATAAATTGGAATGAGAGAACCAGAAAAAAGCACAAACCACAGCCGAGGAGGCTCAGGGCACTTAAAGTCTGCAATCTTCCAGCCAGTGAAACCCATAAGTTTACTCGATCTTCGTCTGGGCAACGAGCCACTCGACGATAATATGAGCGATTCTCCTTGCAATGACCGATTGAAGAAAGAGGGTGTCGGGAAAGATGCGGCGGTTGCGTTCAATCCAAGTAGACCAAGAAATAGCATGGAGGCTGCAGAAGGCAAACCAAACCATGAAACACTCATGTTTTTCAGCCGACCAGTTCATGATTGTGGAGAGAAGGTCATGGTCAGGCGGACAGACGACTCTGCAACTACTTAAGATGGCTCTCCAAACTTCCCACACGTACTCACACTCAATAAGCAGGTGATCGATGGATTCTTCTTTGCATCTACAAAGCTCGCAACGATTAGCAATGATCCAGCTCCGTCTCTTCATATTATCCAAATTAGGGATCTTCTTATGAGATCTTCTTGTTAGAAAGTCTTAAATTTAATTCGTGAATTAGTATACTTTTCATTTTAATTTTATATCAAACACCACCCAAAAGGATCACTATTATCTCTCGATCTACAGAAATTGAGTAGTCGTGTATTCTCTCTCAAAAGAACTGTCGACGGGAGTGCT